CTCGGATCCGAGCGACTTTGTCATACAGATATTGAGCAAAATCCTCAGCCCTCCCCACCAGGGGGTCCCCCCCCCTCAACTGAAGGAGAGAGCGGGTCACCCTGAAGAGGGAGGCCGGGCGATTATCTGATGACGCAATGAGGGTGGAGTAGTAATTAGACCTCGCCACCCTCATTGCCACAAGGTAGGATCTAACATGTATCCTTGCCTGTGTTCGGTCGGATTCGGTTCGGGTAGCCCTCCAACTGCTCTCTAGGCGTCTTTTCCGGCGCTTCATCTCTCTCAGCTCCTCGGTAAACCAGGGAGCTTGTTGAGATCTGCGTCGGGTCAGAGGCTGCAACGGCACGACTCGGTCCAGTGCTGCGGCCACATCCCAGGCCGCCGCCAGATCTTCAGCCGAGTCGTGGACTAGATCCTCCGGATATGGCCCAAGCTCCGTCAGGAACCTCTCCGGGTCCATCAGGCGCCTGGGACGGAACCATCTACGCGGTTCCGTCTCCCTGCGGCGGGGGGGAGCGGAAAGCTGGATGTGCTCAAACATAAGATGGCAATATTGAACATTGACATCTTGGGAACTGATGAACTAAGGGGAATGGGCAAATTTAATTTAGATAACCATTATATATATTACTGTGAGCAAGAATCCCTTAGAAGAAATGGAGTAGCTCTTGAGAGTCTTCTGAACTGCAAGGAAATCAATCAGTCAATCCTAAAGGAAATCAATCCTGACTGTTCTTTGGAAGGACAGATACTAAATGTAAGGACCCACCTCAGCTAACCACCCAAGAAAGCAGAACTCTTGAAACAGGCATTGTCTCAAAAGGAATTTTTATTAGGGTTAGTGACAGGGAAGTCAAGGCGAGATCTGGGGAAAATCCCGCTTAAACAGTATAGTTAAACTAGCAATCTTCCTCCTCCCACCAAAGTCATAGTGTCCATTTGAAATCCAGCCAATCCACAGGTGGCATGATGTTTGGGTAACTGGCACAGTTGGTGCACATCTCAAGGTCTCCAGTTTCATTTCTCCATAACTCTCCCTGATAAGGGAGACACATTCTTTTCTCAAGTAGATAGAGGCAGAAGAGGAAAAGTAGAAAAGCAAGTAGAAAGCAAATTCCCCCCCCCCAGCAGAATGGCAGGCCCCAAACAAGAATACATATGCAGGGAAAACAATAAGGATTTGGGGACCTGACACTAAAGCTCAAGTTCAAATATTCTGGCCACCAAAGAGAGGACTCATTGGAAAAGACTCTGATGTTGGTAAAGATTGAAGGGGATGGCAGAGGATGAAATTGTCATTGATGTGGTGGGCATGGGTTTGGGCAGACTCTGGAAGACAGTGGAGGACGAGGGCATGATGAGCTGTGGTCCATAAAGTTGCAGTGGGTCAGGCATGACTTAGCAACTCAACAATAAAACACCATTCTACAAGTGATTGGTTCTAGCTGCAATTTGTTAACTACAGTATCCTTTAGTGAGAATGGTGGTTAACAACCTGTTTTCTTCTATAAGCAGTCTGGTGCAGAAAATGCTTTTGTGGACATTTCTGAAGGATCTGGAATAGGAAAATAACTGGTTCCTCATGTATTTATGAAATACCTTGAATGAATGGCACGACTATCTCAAATTAATTATTGTAGAAAAGACCACAGCATTAGTTCCCAAATACACAGGTAACTTGCAAATTTTCAGAGAGAACATTTATTGACTAAAAGAGGGAGTGTTCTTTTGAAGGGAGGAATCTCTTTGCAGTAAACTTGTAAAGTGCCAACAGCATGTTACAGGACAAGTCTGACTTCCTGTTCCTGCACCCACACCTAAATTAAGAAAAGCCATTACTTATAAAAGACAGAAGGCATGTAAAATGTCCAACTGCCAAAATTGTTAATCTATTTGCAAGTGGAAAAATGTCATGAGGAGAGAAAGAGCTCTGAAAATAGTACTGGGTGAAGGTGGAGAAAACTGAAATATATCTGGCATGAAGTGAACCATTGGTGACCAATAGCCTTTTGTAACAGAATATCCAACCAATGTGCAAGGCCCTGAGAGGCTGAGTCTACCAAATACATTTTACCTGATTCCCACTTGAAATATTTCTCTCCCTCCATGGGAGAGCAAGCCCTTCAGTTCTTTATGTTATGACAATGTTGCTTATTCAAGCCAAAGAAGACATTAATAGACCTTCAGTTTTATGCTTGTTTTCCCCAATTCCGTTGCTCAATGAACAGCTGGAGAAATCCTTGGCCTTTAAACTGAAATTAACATAGGGTCTTCCCTCCATATGTACGAAAATGCAACTTAAAGAGATTTTACTATTCTGTTCTTTTTATCTTCTTTTTAAAGTCCTATAAAACAAGTCTAACACTGATGAAAAGGAAGCTCTTGTTTTCAGGCTGGTATTCAGTGTCACCAGGAAAGACAAATCTGAAGCTACAGTCCCCTTAATGATTCTCATCTGATTGTTTCCTTTGTACTCAAAAAAAGGTCAAGACTATCATTTTAGTACTAAATGTCCTTTTTTTATATTCAGCAGGTTTATTCCAGTGTCATGACCTTATGTTAGCAGCCTAGAAGTGAGAATAGGTCCCCGTTCGGGTTTAGGGACCCCAAGGTAATTTTTTTGCAGTGTCTCCCATAAGGAACTTCTGAGGTACTACAGGTCAGAGCAGCAGAGACAACTGCTTTGTCCCAGATTTCTTTTTTGGACTTAAGAAATGCAAGTCTATTTCAAGCCTACATTCTCTATATAAATAATAAATAAGTCTGAGGTGGTGGGTCTGCCTAGCCAGCAATCATAAGATGACAAATTCCTCAGCTGAGGGCTTCTTTATCCTGTCCCATTTACTATGCCGTTGGACTTGCACAGTTTGCTGGGCAAAATGGGCACACAGCTCTTCCAAATCATATTCTTGAGCGCAGCCCTCCACAACCGAGAACATGGGATATTTTTCTTTGGTAGCTGCATAGTTTAGGATCTGCAGTGGGAATGAAGAATAATGAACTGGCACAATTCATTTACTTGCTATAAAATTCAGATAAGCAGGCTTGCACTTAATTTTTACTAGGCCTGGATTTTGCTCCATTTCTGACTGGAGTAGCAGTCCTTTTATAATGGCTTATAAGAATTACTCAGAACTCACAATTTATGATGGAAGCTTCCATTTTTCTAGTTCTAAATAAACACAGTGGATAAAATGCTAGTAGCCTCCTTTAAAGCACAAGCCTCTTTTTAAAAACTTGCATCCCAAGTTTCCAGTTTCAAATTCTGCAAATAAACGCTTTGTATTTGTTTTCCCAAATTTCTGTCGAGTTCTCTCTTTAATCCAGAGCAGCAAACATACTATAATTCAGAGCATAGCTTGTAAGCGAACCCAGAAATATATAATTCTCACCCGAGTTAAGTCCAAGCAGAGATGTTCAAATTCCATTCTGTGACGTACATAGAACCCAATAGTACAGCTGGGATCCAACTTTGTGAATGATGTTTTTTGAGGGTAATTACAGTGGAAAGTCTGGAAAAGAGTTAAAACATTAAGAGGTTTCTCCAATTTTTAGACTACCTGTCTCTAGGATCAACCTTCAAATGAAGTCTTAGATCATTCCACCATAAATAGGAACTGGTAAGATTGAGAACAGTCATCATAAGCCTCAATGCCTCTTTCTGTAACTGTAAAGAAAAAAAATTGATTATTTCAAAGCCAAACATATAAACTACTACAATATAATAGACTGATATCAACATTGCTTTCAAGATATGCTTTTATATATAAGTGTATGGAGTAGATCTTACATTTCAATCACATCTTAATAGAATTCAGCATAATTGTGATGTTTTAAAGAGGAAAATTTAAAATAACCTGTGAAATTATTTTTAATTTCAAAAAAATAGTTTCTAAAGCTCTGCAGCTCATTAGCATCCTTAAAACAATTACACTACATAGAGGCCTTGCAACAGCTTGGGGTGGTGCAGAATATTCTTGCTTTGACAAAATATGCAGAACTGTCTGGTACTTTTAGAGTTAATTCAGATGAGAATGAGAGAGGAGAGAAAAGCCCGCAGAAGGGAACGGAAGTGAATCTTTGCCCTCCAGGTAAATTGGTAGATGTGAATCATGACCCCAAAATAGGGGAGGGGAAATGCCTGGAATGTTATGTGCAAAGGAAGAGAAATTCAGATCCTGGCATTCTCCATGCCGTGCTGACACTCCTCTACACTAATAAAGGCTTTTTAGGTTAAACCATGCCTGAAAGTTCTTTGAAGTGTTTCATTAGTCAGACACATGACATCATGCCAAGATCCACAAATTTTTTAAACCAATTAAGAGGTCCCGGACCTCGGTCACTATTCCTAATCTAAAGGGGATAGACTGACAAAGATTTGGGGAAGATCTCATTATGGAAGGAGAAAGATGACTTGAGGCCAGCACCTCAGCAGCAGCAGCTTCCCCAGGGAGGGGAACGACAGCAGCAGCAGCTTCCCCAAGGAGTGGAGTGGCAGCCAGCCAGCCGGGGGAGAAAGAACTCTGGCAGATCTCCCAGCTGGGAGCAAAGACTTCAAAAGCAGAATGGAGAGATAACGAAGTTTTGGGTGAGTCGCTGGAAAGATTTCAAAACCCAGAGGTGAAAAGCAGAAATCAATTCCTGGAGAGAGGAGCCTATACCCCTCCCATTGCACATCAGAAAGCCTGTCAGATCCTGTCTTCCCCTGCCAGGGACCCCAACCCTGAAGAGAGAGGGAAATCCAGTTTGAGGCATCTGCAGCAATGGGTAGATTGGGTTCCCCAGCAGATGGATGGTCAGCGATTTCTGAGCTTGCCACAGCTAATAGAGGCCTTGCAATAGTTTGGGGTGGTGCAGAAGCCAGATCAGCAGCTGGTGGGAGACCGACCACAGCAGAGAGATTGGCCACAGCCCCCAAACATGCAACCCCTGGGCATAAATCTGCAGCCAGAATGGGGCCAGCAGCAACAGCCACAGTGGGGGCCCCAACAGCCTATAATTGCACCACTTTTCAGAGCAACCTTAGATGGGGACCCAGAGAAGCTGTTTTTGTTCCTCAACCAAGTGCGTTCTCATTTGAATTGCTGGACCTATCTCTACCCGGACCTGGGGGCCATGGTCGATGTGATTGCGTCTAGCCTAGAGGGAGAAGCATCCGAATGGCTGAACAATTTATATAATGAGCAAGCCCCCAAATTGGAGGACCCCCACCTCTTCCTCCTAGGGCTGAGGGAAAGATTTGAGGACCCATCTATTGGTCTTAAAACAAGAGAACAGATCAGTACGTGCGGGAATTTCGCAAGATAGCAGGTCGAATAGAGGGGTGGCCTGAACAATCCCTAATCCATCACTTCATTGAGGGATTAGACGATCACCTCTCTCAGGCCTGCATCTATCGAGCCATATCTGATCAGCTGCAAGAATGGTACCAGGCAGCAGTGAAGCTAGACGTTCAGCTCGCCCGCTATAAGAAGCCTCCCCCACCTGAATCTCAGCAGCTGCCAGAGCAACCCGGACAGCAATCACCCCCACGAAAACCTCCAACTACTGCGATGGCCGAGAGACCCAGACCACCTACAGGCCCGTCAAATAAGTGTTTTCGGTGTGGACAAGAGGGACATCGAGCAGCAACCTGTCCAGTCCCCTACTCCCGACTGCAGAGCAGACTGGAACCAGCGACAAGAAGGAAACCTGCTCAGCGACTAACGAGAGAAAAATCCAATCAGGTCATGCAAGAACCTGTTGCCCAGATTACACCCCCCACACAGGAGGATGCTGGGACTCCGGGTGGACCCGCCCCTGCTCTACCCTCCTTTGACAGCGACGATGAAGGAGAGAACCACCTGATGGTGAGTCGACAAAACCCGCCTTTTTCACTGGCCACCAAACTTATAATCCCTAAGTCTGGGGCATAAATGGACTTAAACGTGCTAATTGATTCTGGATGCACCCATTGCATTATTAGTCTGCCGTTTGTCATGAAAATGGGCAAACGGGCAAAACAGCTTTCCAAACCTGTGAGGTTTGAGCAAGCCGATGGCTCCCTGATGGGAGGGACTCTTGTCACACAAGTAACTGAGCCCTTACGCCTAGAAATAGGTGCGCACTGGGAGTTTATTCGCTTCCTAGTGGCTCCAAAAATGACAGACTGTGATCCTAGGGCTAGCCTGGTTGGACAAATGGAAGCCATTTATCTGGTGGGAGAAAGGAATGAGAACTGTGAGACTACCTATAGGGCCTAAACCTCCCGCTGATTCAACTGATGTTGCAGGACACCTTAGGCCACCCAATGAGCAAGCGCACATGGCTGCCTCACCGCTGCCGAGCGAACCACTCATCCCCAATGAATATTGGGACCTGGCGGAGGCATTTAGTGAAAAAGAATGTGATGCCCTGCCCTCTCACAGACCCAATGACTGCTCCATCGAACTGGTGCCAGGAGCCAAACTCCCACGCACAAGAATGTATGCTATGTCCCCCCTTGAAATGGAGGAGATGCACCGATATGTGAATAAAAACCTAGCGAGGGGGTTCATCGAACGGGCCAAATCTACCGTGGGAGCCCGTGTTGTTCAAAGAGAAAAAAGATGGATCTCTTCGTCTCTGCGTAGACTATAAGGGTCTCAACGCTGTGAGTGTGGAAAACAAATATCCCCTCCGCCTCCTAAGGACTTATTAACCCATCTGGCTAAGAGGAGTGTCTTCACTAAATTAGACCTGAGAGAGGCATATTACCGGGTGAGAATAAAAGTGGGAGATGAGTGGAAAACTGCCTTCAACTGTCCTATGGGGAGCTATCAGTTCAAAGTCATGCCATTTGGACTACAAGTGGCCCCAGCCGTATTTATGCAATTAATTAATGAGGTCCTACATGATCACTTGTACAAAGGAGTTTTTATGTATGTTGATGATATCCTGATATACAGCACGAATATGATTGATCACATAAAGCTGGTGAGAGAAGTGTTAAAGAAACTATTGAATGCCAAGCTTTATGCCAAATTATCGAAATGTGAATTTCACCAGACCCAATTAGATTATCTTGGCTACAGAATTTCCAACGAGGGCATTGAAATGGATCCAGCCAAGGTGAAAGCTATAATCGAATGGCAGCCCGCAAAGACTCGCAAACAGCTCCAGAGCTTTCTGGGTTTTGCCAACTTTTGTCAATTCATCCCCTCTTTTGCCGAGATTGCCCTACCCCTTGCAGAACTACTCAAAACAGGCAAAGGAGGAGGGAAGCCACGACCGGGCCAACCACTAGCATGGACGATGGGCTGTCTAACAGCTTTTGAGAATTTAAAGAGACTATTTGCTGCTGAACCGGTCCTAAAGCACCCCTGCCCAGGGAAGCCCTTTGTGATTCAAACCGATGCCAGCGATGTGGTAGTTGGAGCTGTGTTACTGTCAACACTGCAAATACTGTATATTCTTGCTTTGACAATATGCAGAACTGTCTGGTATTTATATAGTTAAACCAGCAGCTGGGAAAGAGGGAGGAACATAAGGATAGCCCGGGAGAAAGAAACCGGAAGTAAATCACATCTTCCAAGTTGATTGGAAGATGTGAACCATGACCCTACAATAAGGGAGTGGAAAATGTTTGGAATGTTATGCGTAACGGAAGAGAAGCCAGACCTAAGCATTTTCCACCATGCTGTTCTGACGTATCTGTAACCTTAATAAATGCTTTTAGGAGAAAATATGCCTGAAAGTCCTTTTAAGTGTTTCGTTAATCAGACACATGACATCATGCTTAATCCCAATCTCATTCTAAAACAATCTGGGGTCCCGAACCCCATCCACTGCCTCGAAGTTTGAGAGGTACTGGTAAAGATTCGGGGAAGATTGACATGAAGGAGAAGAAATTGTCTGAGACCAGCCTCCTCCTAGCTGCAGCAGTTTCCCCGGGGGGGGGAAGCGACAGCCGGAAAGCCAGGGGAGAGAGGAATCTGGCAGATTTCCCAACTGGGAGCGAGGCCAGACTGCGATAAGCCGTGCAAAGGCTCTGGAGGAAGCCACACAGCCTTGCCAGGAAAAATGGTAAGTCACAGTCCTGAAGATGTAGGGAATCCCAAATTGAGGCCTTTCCAGCAACTGAGCTTACCACAGCTAATAGAAACCTTACGGCAGCTTGAAGTGATGCAACAGCCAGAACTACAGCCGGTCAGCTTGCAGATGGGGGAGGCCCAGCATGTCCAGCAATCATTGAGGGGCCTACAACAGCAGAGGGCATCACCACCCCCTGCAGTACAGCAGCAGAATACACCACTACAAACCCCACTTGCACAGTCACCATTGGGAGGCCTGCAGCAGCAGGGGGCACTACCAGCCTCCACTGCCCAGCAGCAGAGAACCCACCAACCATGGGATTGGCAGGCAGGAAGGGGCCAACTGCAACTGGGGGCACCACATCAACAGCAGGGAGCCCAGCAGCCATGGGACCAGCAACCAGGGTGGGGCCAGCAGCAACAGCCCCAGTGGGGACCGCAACAGCCTGTTTTTGTACCAC